TTTCTTTTGTTCGGGATAAACTCTCAAACTACTTATTCAATCGTCGTGCAGTTTTTTTTATATCACAGAGCAGGTTTTAGGCACAATTGTAGTCCCATAAAGTTAATAAATAATTAGTTATTACTTAGTATTAATTAAAATAAACATGTAAATTGTATACTTATACCTTTTTTAGTAAGAAATAGTCCCTGGCTGAAAATAAATAACAATCAAACTCGACAACCATAGATGCTTCTAGGCTGGTCGGTATCGACGTGGTATAATAAATAATTATTATATTTATTTAGTTTAGCAAAAAAAAAAAAACCATTCATTTTATCTGGGTATCTATTATTAGTAGGTACTTATAATCAATGGGGTTACATTAGTTAGGTATTGGTAAAAAATAACTAATAACTAATCGAATTTTCATGAATTGCTTTCTAAGACGGTTGAGTTACACTTATAGCCGCTCATCGACGTATCTACAGTAAAAATAAAAAATATTAATAATAAATAAATAAATAATTCATATAGAGTATTTACCTAGCGTGGGGTACGATAATAATAGTATAATATAATATCCTACCTGATAATATATTGCTCGCATTATAACAAGCGAGTCTCATGTATATATTTAGCATTTTCAACGGGCATCGAAGTGTACGGGATCAGATAGTTTCTAATAAAATACAACGCTTTTAGTAGTTTCGTATATTTTTGAAGTACAAGTTTTTTTTTCTAACTTCGCACAAGTTAAACGAACTTTTGACTAATACTTAATATATAAAATTAGAGCCAACATCTATAAAAAAATCTATTCTATATTTTATACTTTTCAGTTTTCACACATTTATTGATCAAATGTATTAATTTTACATTTATAAAACAACAGAAATTCAAGGGTTCTTATAGCAAGATAATATAATATCATATCAAACAATTATGTCATCCGTCCACTTGTTAAAATTCTAAAGGCATAATGTTATATATTTAAATTATTTGCAAATTAATAATTTGCACAAAGGAAATAATCATTTTAGCCTAATAATAATACGTCTTAGAACAAATATAACGTTGAAAAAACATTACAGTTCGTTATCTTTGCTGCACAGATAATCTCAATTGATTTTTTAACTTGAAGCAAATTAATATTTTTCTTGCTTATATAGGTACCTTATCTACCTTTACCTTATCTTGGGTCATTTTCGGCGCAGATTAGACAGGTACCTACGCCCTCACATCTAAAAATATTTTACATACTTGTGATTTGTGTATTATATTCTAGATTTTTAAACATATTTTTCAAATAATAATTTACAGAATTTCAGTGAATTGAAATTTAATATTTGATGTTTTTTATACACACCTATTCGTAATTCGAATATATATGCATGTATAATATATATGTCAAATGTACCCATATATTTTAGTAAATTACTAATAACTATGATACAACGTTGACATTAGTACATTTTTTACTTCAATTAATATTATCTCAAACTTCTTATTGGTAGTTAAAAGTTATACACTTATACCGTACCTACCTATGTAAATTAAATAAATTGGCAACGACCGATAAACCAGTTTTGGACGGGCCGGACATCCGATAAATCACTATCGAATGTATCGTCTACAGCTGTCACAATCACGAAGTATACATTATAATATATTATAATATATAGATATTGGTTCTTAGTTGTTTAAAACTATATAAGTAGGTATACGTGTCCGTTACGTTATTATTATGTGTTTCATATAATTCAAATAAGTTCGAGCCTCAAATAGTAGGTATATATAATTGATATAACATTATAATATTATATTTGAACACCTAGGTATACTTAGAAAAACCTGCCAAATTGGATTGAGATAATTGTTTTCATAACACATTATCGTTTATCATATTTTGTATTTCTAATCAATCGAGTTATTTATTTACTCAAATTAAATATTATCTTTAATCATAGAATATATCCTATATTTTACATTATCAGCTATATCTTATATAGTTCTTCTAATGAAAATGAAGTACATATTTTGTCAAAATGTTGACATGACATTTTTAAAAAAAATAACTGTGCTTATGAATTTTAGAGATTTTAGGTTTCTGTGAAACAACTTTTGATAGAAACCTTGCATGAGGATGAGGTTCTCAAGCCTTCGATATTATTAAAATTTCATACATTTTTGTTTCAAAGTTCAAACTAATTTGCAAGGTTTTGGGATTATTTGACGTATTTTTTTTTTAAATTTTAACTTCTGCAGACATTTATAAACAAATATCGCATGTGTTTTTTAAATATTTTTAAACTGCCACAAGAATAAGTTATGTGGGACCATGTATTATACTTTGAAGTATTTTGTTCTGTTTAAGAGTTTTTATCAATATATAAAGAAAATAAATAAAAACTGCCTATAAATAACTTAAATTTAGTCTAAATCTTTCAACATTTAATAATTGCATGATTAAACTGATAGTTTAAGTAATAGTTTAATGTTTCAAGTTTATTTGATAATAATTTTTTGAATATTCGTGTAAATGTCCGGTCATTTGAAATTTCAACTTAAAAAAAATTAAATGGTTAAAGTTTTTTCGTCATTTCTAGTAGTGAAATCTTATGATGATTTTTTAAATTTTTATAGCATTAACTGCATGGTTATTAGCCGGTTTTTCACTGTGGGTGATGGTATGGTTGGATCAGAATACGTGTACGTGTGACGAGGACTTGTTACTGAAAAATTCTGGGTGGTCACCCATCCGGGAACTAGTAACACCAGCCGTTGAGTACATTTAGAGCTCATACATAACTGAATATATAGACACCGCTCCACAATGATGAATTTTATAATAAGTATTGAAACATAAGGTGTTGAAATTAATGTTATACATTTCAATTATTTTTATAAGTACTGGGAAATCTCAAATACCAAATAGATCCAATTTGCTTCTGTAAACTACCCCTAAAGTTTAAAATCGATGGATTTTTGTTACTTACTTTTAAATGTGATGACTGATAACAAACAAAAAAAACCAACACAAATCATTGACAACCAATAAATTCATCGTTCCCCTTTGAATCTAAAAGGTCATTAGAATGTTCTAGCCAGCGTGACTTTTAAGTTTTAAAAATTTTCCATTTAGTAAGTTGAGTGGCCCATCCCTGTAATACATCTAACTATAAGATAAAAAATATTTTTATTTACACGTACATAACAATTATTTGAACTATTTTCAATAGTTCTACTAAACTAATTAAAAAAGTAGGTATAAAATAAACATTTATAAATAAAAAACTTTTCTGTGGGTAAAATTATATTGTATTATTATTACGTATATAATTATAACTACAAAATGTTCATCGAGACACACAAAATATAATATAGTTATGACTGCGAGACGATACAATACATTTCAATTGTGAAAGGTAAAAGGTATAAGGAACATTTTAATTTACAAAATAACTTAACTACAAACGATTCATTTAACACAAAAATTTATTATTTACAAAAATATATGTACAATATAATATATTTAAATAAAAATAGGATACTCTTTTCGAAGTATGAAATAGACATTTTGGAATTTCTCTTTTCTTCAATAATTGTATTCTATTTTACTCATAACTCATTAAATAAAAACACGGATCTAAATCTACATGGACAATAATATTATGGTAACATATTGAGGCAAGTCAAAATTTAATAAAATAAATAAACAAACAAAAATGCAAGTATAATATATAATATATATAATATAACAACTGTGTAAAGTAATATTTTGGTCGGTTTTGATTTTGGGGGTGAAAAAATATGTAATTTATAAATAAAAAGACTAGTATATGAGCATGATGTTTAAAACAATATATTATATAATACCTATATATAACATACTATATTCACTGGTTGGCGTACAAAAGCTATAAAATAATAAATAAGTAAAAAAAAAAAAAATGGGACACAATACTATAATATATGAATTTGGGTTCGATGAGTGTGGTGGTGAATTAACGGTGAACGGATACGGTGGTTGTGATGGGACAATTACGAAGGGGCGGGGAAAATATATGGCAATCTCAGACAACATTAAAAACGATAAAAATCGATGGCTTAAGACTCGACGAACAAGATATACTTATATCATAAGAGACATCATCACAATTTTAACGAATTTCGGTAATTTTTTAAATTTTTTTTTTTCTGGTAATAGGCGTTTAGAACTAAATAACAGAAAAGATACATTTGTTTGCCATTTCGACTGATCGTAATAATATAATAATATTATATTACGGAAAAGTTAACGGTACCCATATGTTAAATAAAAAATTCTCGTCACGTCCATAACGTTGGCATAATAATATAATACTACAAAATTATTATTATTACGTTTACAACATGTATCCAATAAAATGGATCTTATTATGCCGTCTTAACGTTGAAATTACGTAAATGTAGGTAGGTATATAGGTAGTAGGTACCTAAGTAATATTTATCGATTTTGATGGGGATCTCGTTCTATGCTTGTCTGTGGTCGGAGACTATACTTAATATTACCTAATGTAACTGTTATATTACGTAATAACATATTATATCCGTATAAAGAGGATATACCGTCGATGTGTTTCTTTACGTATAACACATAATATTATAAAGATCGTTATAAGTACCGGTCTATATAATATGAACCCGTCATCGTCATCTGCAGTATTGGTAGTTATTCGATTTGTCTATATAATATTTTGTCGTCGGAAACGTATAATTTAAAAATACCTACCTACAACGTACAACAATCGTGCCGTAGAAATCATTTTTATTAAAAACAAAATTCGTTAAACGGGTAAACAACCTCGTTGGAGAAACGCACAATAGTAAAATAGTAATAATAATAATAAAAATTATAATAATATATACGTAAATATATGCATATATATATATAAATAAAGTAGTTATTAATAATAATAACTAGTAATAATAATAATAATAATAATAATAATAATAATATCTTTGGGCGACGCTATGTGTTTGTGTGTGGGTGTGTCTGTGTGTGTATGTGTGTGTGTGTGTGTGTGTGTGTGTTTGTGTGTGTGTGTGTGTGTGTGTGTGTGTGTGTGAGAGTGTGTGATGGATCTAGGCCGAGGCCTACCTGCACCCGCACCCGAGCACTTGCATGTCCTGGTAGTTTTTGAGCACCACTTTGTTGTCCTCGTCCAGGTACAGCATAGATATGGACGCCAACTGAGTGGGTACGCAACACGCTTTGGGCACGGCGGTGGGGTTCATGGAGTTGACCAACGTCTGGACGATGGCGTGGTTGGTGGAGTTGAGGTGTTCGGCGACCGGAAACGGACAGTCGCCGTGGCAGTAGTAAGCGTCGTAGCCGGGCGGCGCGACGATCCAATCGTCCCAACCGACGTCGGTGAAATCCACGTAGAGCGGATGCCTTTGGCAAATGTCCCGGCCGCCGTCCTTCCGCCGTTTGCCGCCGCCCCTGCCCTGTTGCTGCTGGCTGGCCCCCGGCGAGCGTTTCCGCCGCGGCGGGCCGACGGGACGACTGTTCTTGCCGTCGTCCGAGTACACGAGAAGCGCAGGCCTGTCGGCGGCCCGCAACTCGAACGTGTCGGGTATCGGGGCCCGGACGTCAGCGGCATCGGTCAGGGTCTCGATGAGCAGCCCGTGATTGCCGGCTGACCACCGGCCGCCGTGCTGCGACCATCGCTCCAGCGCGGGCGTCACGTCCAGCGTGACCGACACCTCGTCGTCATGTCCCGCCAACGTCAGCGCGTCCGGCAGGTCCACGTACTGTGAGTCGAGTAACCGAAGCACTGGCTTCGACACGCCCCGGACGCCCGGTTGCACGATGTCGTGCACAAGCACTTGCACGCGGGACGGATGTCCGGTAGGCCGGTGCCGCGACGGCGTCAGCCTCAGCTCGGCCGCGGTCAGCCATTCGCCCTCTGGCAACGGGTCGACCGCGAACTGCAACCTGTACTTACGGCACTTTGGCTTTTTCGGTTCAGACTCTGAAAAACGAAACGCGGAATGTATCAACACACGGTATAATAATATATGCACATACAAGTATAATTACGTCAATGATGGTACCTATTAGGTGCAAAATATTACAAAGGCGGGTAAGTTGATGAAAATGATTACCTAACTTGAGTTAATAAGTAGCTTATTTAAAAGTCAACGTCAAGCTATAAGTTAATAGTTAGCGATCAATATTTCAATTCTTACATTTCAAGTTAGGATTGAGAAAAATACAAACTTAACCGGTAAACCAGTTGAAAAGAAGTTAATCCATTGATTTTTTAATAATCATATGGGTCACACATGCTTAGTGATTGTGTAACTTTCAATTATTTTAAATAACAGGTAACTAAGTATTTTGTAAAAAATGCATCCTACACTATTCCTTCTTATATTGCACACTATATCTGCGTAATGGTTTAGGCAGTTACACGTTTGTGCCAACTAAATAATAATAATCTTAATCAAGTAATATTTGTTTGTAGTTAAAATTATTGTGTAACTAAGTTATAAAAAATAATAATAATGAATTAATTACCTAGTTTTAATTGCAGTTATAGATATTTACAAATATAATTTTAACTTTTAAATTCAATTGGTACCTCGTAGCTAAATCGTTACTATGAATTCTTTAACTAGTTAAATCAATAAGTTAATAGTACGCTTTATTTAATGTTATAAAATCATTGATATTACTTAATATCGTATACTTATACATTAACTATACGGTCTATACGACTAGTCAAATTTAAAAGTTAAGAAAAACGCATTTTAACTAGCTAAGCCCATATTTTGTATATCATATTATTATTGTTATGCAATGATGGGATAAGAAGATCCACTTTATAATCGTTTAGAAGACGAAAAGTGGAGTATATAATATATTGCATAAAGTACTCATATTAGAGAACGAAAACGCACTGGTCATATTTTGCTGTACTGACTCTGATTTACGTTTCAAAAACTCGAATTATATATAATAAATTATATTCTATAAAAATAAATATAAAATTTGATATTCACAAGGGTTTACTGTAAATTAATGTAATACATTTAAAAACGCTCTGTATGCAGTATAATATTCGCAGTGTCATAGCTCATAAGTTGGTAATTCATTTACGATTATTCAATCACGTCGAAACGGAATGTATTTTTACGGCGGGACAACGGGTTAATATTAATTATTAATAATGTGTATTTTTAATTTCTTCCAATACAATTATCTCTCAATCGCCAATTGATTTTGCTATGAAAGTAAACAACGCAATACGGAAATCATTTTTCTGCTCATACTAACGGTATATAGTGCATCTATGTATATTATACGTTTAGTGTACACCTATAGCACTTATATACATTATGGGTACTAATTAAGTTAATATATAGTTTTATGTACCTAATCATTATAATATACATTTAATGTTTTTTATCAAATTTTAGGTTACCGTAAAAAAAAAAAAATTTTCTGAATATGGTATGCCACACGCCAATATCGCTTATAATTGTATTTATTGCTCAGTATAAAGTACAAAAAAATCCCTCTCCATAAAGTTTAATTGGTTATAGTCTTAGAACATTACTATATGAACTTGCTATAATAACGACGATATACGTCTTAACGACTTGACTATTACAAGGCGATAAATAATACCAAGATCCCAATCATATTTTAAAACAGGTAAGTAAAAACAATTTTAAAATTTTTCATTTAATTTACATAATATAGTATGTAAATTAGTAATCATGTTTGAAAAAATGATGATAATAAGTTTGTAAATAAAGTGAAATTCATATTAAAGTCAAGCCTTTTTTTGAAGTCAACGAAAAAAATATTATTTGAAAAATCTTTAAAGCTGTTAAATTGTAAAATTGTTATAGGTAGGTAATTTTATTATTATTATTTCGACGTAATGCAATAAATATGCATTTATATTTAGTGGTTCATTATTAATTTTGGTTCAGTTGGTTTCACCAGAACATTAGAAACATAACACATACCAGATACTTAAGAATAATAGTAATAATTAATTATTATTATTATTATTATTATTACTATTATTACCTACTACATACGCTTTTATATTTCATATTAACGAATCTAATACAGAAATTTTCCATTAAATTAATTTCTTAATAAATGACTTTTACTGTTTGAGCTAGTGAAATCCCTTAAAAAATATCAATGATTAGGATATTCTTTTTTTTTGTCGATAAAGTTACTAAGTTTGGTTTTGTATTGTAATCATCCTGTAACTATTATATACATAATATATCTACCTTCCACAATACCTATCTAGTTTGTGATTTCGTTATCGTTTCATTAATTATGAGTTATATATATTTGTTGTAACATATTATAATATTCAAATTTATAATCATATTAGCTTGTATTTGCTACTACTATTACGTTCGATTAATTTGCAGAGCCATTCTGATAGCGTCGCTTGTTATATAAAATACATGTTTTTATCAAATTGTTTTTTATTTTCAAATTATTCGACCTTATTGTACCGAACATATCACACAACTGATCTATAGACGGACAATCTTTTCAACGTAATGAAATATAAACAACAAGGTATGTAAAAAGGAGTAACAGAGTACAATATGTTTTTTTTTTTGTTAAGTTACCTAAGTCACTCAATTCTTATAACATTTCATATTAAGACTCTACCTTTAATTAATACATTAGTTTGCATATTATAGTGTACCTACCGTAATTAAAAAGTTTGGTGTTTAAAATTTTTCAAACTAATCTAGCAAGATAACGATTAATGTCAGCGATGATTTACGAGTGACGCTTCGAAACAGTTGGATGATGCTAAATTAAAAATCACGATATCATCACATTTATAACAAAGATTGTTTTTTAAGATATCAAAACATTTTAGAGAGTAGTTTGAACCACGTTCAAATATACCAAATGTTATATCCAATCCACAACAGTCAGATGCCCAACCTCCGTCGAATTAGTTTACAGTTTTACACTGTTGAAATTTTCCAGTGAGCTAAGGGACATTAAAACCAAGATACATCTACCTATTATGCACCGTTATTTCATATTTGTTAATTTTTTCCCTACCGAAGTCAGCTTGTACAGATGCTAGTATATAATGACCGTCATACTGTAGTATGCAATCTTCTGGCCTTTGTCATTTATTATAAGATGTGGTCTACTTACAGCCGACTTATATTTACTTGGGCTTATGATTACCTTTAATGGATAAGGTTTAATTTCTGGGGTTAAGACTTAATCAGTAAAACTTTATACTTTATGACTTTCGATTACAATGATTCAACATTTCGTACAAGTATAGACTCAGATGCTCAATACTTCATTTAATGCGCGACACCACAATTTATTCTACATGATATTTTGTCACTCACGCAGTCACACACTCAATATGTTGGCAAACGTTTTTTATTTAATCATAACTAGTGATGAATCAACTATCAATTTTTTAATATTTTGATAAAAATGTTTCAGAAAACAATGAAAATGTCTATTGTAATAAGCGTGGAAATGAGATGAATCTGACCAAACGTAAGTAGAGTCTTACCCTGTAAAAGAAAGGGATCTCAAACAACTTTTATTCTTTTTCTGGAATGATATTAGATTTTACAAATTTTTTATTTCTTTTAAACTCATTATTTTCCCTTTTTTCCGGTATAAAAGGTATTGTCATACTTCATGACAGTGGTATATTATATATATATATATGTATATTGTATACACTAATTACATCTTAAATATATATTGGAGAATGGTGAAGAGTGAGTGAATATTAACCTAGTTATATACATAAATATATTATACATGTGCCTTAAATACAAAAATTCATAGTCACCAAGCCCACACAACTGTGTACATTTTTTGTAGTAATCCGAAGTTTTGTCCAATTTATAGAGATGATAATCCAAACCTACGACGAATTCAGTCGTTCAACAAGTGCTATTACAAAATTCAATAAAATATCAATAGTTTCGTTATCGTGCGAGTATACTCAAGTACATGCCTACCTATATATTATTATGACTCTAGAAATATTTATTTATTACGTATTTATTTTAAGTTTTGAAATTTTAAACTGAATCAATAGATTACATAGATATAAGACATCTTATTGTTATAGACATTTGTTTGGACATCAAATGTTTTTTAATCATAAATTCATATCCCTCCAAATTTCATGGAACTACAATAATTGTCCCTTGAAATATATTGTTAAAGTGAACGTATGTACTCTTCTTCAAACAGCCATTTTGACCGAATTGCGCCATTCTACAAACTGGGGCACTGTGATTAGATAGTGCTTTATGTCTAGTGTATAGGATTTATGGGATATAAAAGATACGGTTCATAAAATAAACGGTGTAAGAAATAAAAAAATATTTTCTTAAAAAATAATCATGTCACATGGTATTTTAAGTTAGTTTATAAACATTTAAAATCATTATATTTATAATAAGTAATAACAAATAGGCACAGCCAACAAATAGTCAGAAATGCAATGTTAATTATGTTTATTATTGCCTTGGCGTGATAATAATTTAATCTAATGGGTGGTAATTTTAACGAGTTAATTATGTAAATAATTTAGTTTTTAGTAATATTATATATCTTATAGATAGTTATAATAAAATTGTATTCCGCCAATTGCTTGATTTTATAAAAATCAGTTAATTGATATTTTTAATAACACATTCAAAAATTAAAATCACCAAATATATTAATATTTATTTGTTGAGAAATACATAGGTACACTTAATATAATTTAAATAAATAAAACATAAACGTTACTTTAATATGCATGTTATTTATCAAATTAAATAATTTAAAACAATTACAAAATGGTTATATAATTCAATGCAAAATAATGATCACTAAAAATAGTTTGTTCATTTTTGAACAGTAAAATTATAATCTAAAAAAAAATTATAAATTGTATTATAATATCAAAATCTTAGTACCCGAGAAAATGTATCATAG